TAAATAAGATAATTTAAAGTTTTCCTTCCAACATGAAATATCCAGTGATTCTGTGAAATTACTTCCTGTGCCCGTACAATGGATTTTATTATTTTATTTCAGGTCAATACTTTGTCAGATATATATATGTTTGCCTGCATTTGACTGCTTTCTACCTTAAGTGATGAGTAAGCATGAGCAGATTAAGTGACTTCTTAAGTCACTCATTTAAGTAGGAAAAAGATTAACTTTCTGTCTATACACGTGCAAGTACTTATTCATGAATATGCTTGTTTGATACATGAATACTGTGTGTGGTTTTTAGCCACTAAATTTGATAATTTTTTTGACTGAAATGATAATTTATAAAGTGTTGATTAGCTTATTAAAAGTGAGATGTAGTCATAACTGAAAATGTTCTCCTTTGGTACTTCTGAAATTTAGCTCTTAGCCATACCAATTTTTAAATAAACATGATTGGATTGACTCCAAGTTACTCCATTTGCACCTGCAGCAAAACAAAGTTGCTGGGTTATACCATATTATTACTTTATGCTAAGGAGTCTCTCTCAGAGATTAGGAGGTCTGTTAAATATTGCTGCCATTGCAGCTTGGAAAAAAAATCAGATTTTATTTTTATTATAGCTTATTATTTTATGAAAAGATTACATTAGTTGCATGAGAATTCTCTGAAATAATTATTTCTATATGGCTTATATAGAGTACTGAATGACTTTGGATTACATCTATGACTCAAAATATTCCTAGTATTTTTCAGGATCATAATAATTTTCATTTACTCATAGTGTTACCTAAATGAAGGTCTCTTCTTCCTGTTCTTCTAGTCAATCTTTTTATCACATTCATAATTACGGCCACTTACAAGGGTAAGGATAAGGATAAGGATTGATGAACCATCACATAATCTGAAGGATGGAGGAAAATATTCTAATGATCTGCTTCACCATTTCTGATCAGAGAAAAATTAATTACACATTATATTTATGCACTTTCTTCAGTAGATGAAAGGAAGTAGCAGTCACACACAGGAATATGCAAATGTGAGGTATTGTAAATCATATTGCCATTTACTAAATAACTCTTTCTGTGAAAAAGTAAAATAACTTTAGATTCTTCAGTGTTGAAATATTTCTGTTTTTCACAGAAAAAGCCTGCAGAATCATAGAAAAATAATCTTTTCCTTTGGATCTTTCTAAAGATGCCATTAAAAAATATTTTCTAATATATATATATATTTTCATGAGCATGCTTAAACCTATTATCTGTTTAAAAATTCTTGAAACCCATACATTACTTAACATCAGTAACATTCTGTTCTGTACATGCAGTAGTAAGAGGGCTACCTGAACAGCAGTGCATGATCTCCCATGTCATGCACTTTATCATGGAGGTAGCAAAGTCACATAACTTACCAAGTATAGTATGAGCAAACCCATGACAGAGCTGGAAAGGTAGCTTACTGTGGGAATTCCAAGCACAGAAAGCTCTCAAAATCTTGTGTATGCAAGCTTAGATATAGACATGGACACAAGGTTTGACTTGAGGCCTTAGAGAAAGCTTCCAGATTTAGAATCATAAGTAAGAATGTGAGTTTAAATAGAAAGGCATTAAGCTAGGTAGTGGGAAGTTTTACGGTTTTAAAGTTATGATATAAAAGTAGTCATAAAGGTAACATGACGTTTAGGGTATAACAAGTAGTTATATATGTCATTATATGATTGGCTAAAAAAGTCAGTACTGCAGCAAAGACGTATCAAACAAAATAATTAACTATTGGTGTGAAAGTAGAAACATTCTTTTGTGGTAAAAGTTTATTGGCTAATTAACCTTTAAAGGATCTTGTAACCTGTAGTCTTGTAACCACTGACCAAGAACATCTGGTGAATTTGGTGAAGATGCTCTCATGACTTCATGAGACCATAGAAAAAGAAGAATAAATCATGCTTTGAAACGTCTTTAAGTGGTCCCTTCTCTCTCACAAAATCCCACCACTTACATCTCTGTAGGCTCTACATGTGTGATTCTACAAATACATGGAGGATCTGCTGTCCATTTGTATAACTCCTCAGTTGGAAACATCACCTCTAAAATCCCAGGAAAGTGTTGTAACAAAATGTTTTACCCTTTCCTGCAGTAATGTATAGTGAGGATCTTGTTCTATACTTGGTACTTATGTCATGTCATGTGGTGCAAACTTATTTTATTTATGCAAGAAATATCTTTAAGAATTGTACAGTAAGCAATATGCAGGAATTCTTGTACACTGACCTAGAGCAGTATTTTGATTCTCAAGATATGAAGGTGGCATCAGTGTAGAGATGTATGGCAGTATCATGCTGTCCTTCACTAATATATTTGCAATGTTTTTCCCTGGCTTATACATTTCCCTGTCAGCTGAAAGGATGCTCCAGGGTTTTTCCACAATTCTTATTCTGTAGTAACACTACCATGGGATTGAATCTGGCCTTATACATTATATGAGAAGGATGCTAGTTTAGTACTTCGTTCATGTAAAACAGCCTTCCAATAAGCATAATTATTCTCAAGATAAGTAGAATCTGACTGATTCAGTCTTTCATGAGCAACAGAAAACATCTGAAGCAACTAGACAGCTCCAAATGCTGTGAGAAATGGAAAAATATAAATTTCTACAGATGCTGAAGGGTTCAATCTGCAGGCTTAGAAAAAGCTTGGGTTAATGTAATGTCTTGGTTTTGGGAGACAGGTGTCTGTTAGGGAGGGTAGGAGCCTCCCTTGCAATGAAAATGTAGACCCCTTTCCCTCTGAATTATTATAATTCTGAAATCAAGGGGCTCTCAGGCAGAGATCTGGGGATAGGAATAACAGTGCTTTACTAGTATAACTAGGCAAACAAACAAACAATAACTACAGCATTAGCAAGAAAACAGAGCCTGGGACCCCGTGACAGCTTTCTCGGCTGAGACAGGAAGGGATGGAGGAGAGGCTTTGTTTCACAAACCCCTCGGGCAGTCCCGGTGCTCCTGCAGGGCTCTGAGGAACACCCAGCTGGAACAGCAGGGATGAGCTGAGATCCTGGGCCGGTGGCTGAGGTGGAACAGCAGGGATGAGCTGAGATCCTGGGCCGGTGGCTGAGGTGGAACAGCAGGGATGAGCTGAGATCCTGGGCCGGTGGCTGAGGTGGAACAGCAGGGATGAGCTGAGATCCTGGGCCAGTGCCTGAGGTGGATCAGCAGGGATGAGCTGAGATCCTGGGCTGGTGGATGAGGTGGATCAGCAGGGATGAGCTGAGATCCTGGGCCAGTGGCTGAGGTGGATCAGCAGGGATGAGCTGAGATCCTGGGCCGGTGGCTGAGGTGGATCAGCAGGGATGAACTGAGATCCTGGGCCGGTGGCTGAGGTGGATCAGCAGCTCCGCGGCGGTGCCTGGCACTGCCACACGTCCCGGCAGGACAGGGGGTGTGAGGCCACCAACAAAGAGGGGAGAAGGAAAAGAAGCAGCAGCTCCGTCTGGGTGATGGCGAAATTCTCTTCTCCCCACCGCAACAGCTCCACTCCCCAAAGTGTCCTTCTCTGAAGCTGAAGAAGCTGCCAAACTGTCCCCACCCTCCCCTTTTCCTGCCCCCTTTCCCCTGTGTGCCCGGTCAAACTCTTTGTCTCTTGTCAAGCACCCACCAAGTACCTGCAGTTAGGTTTTCCCTGCAACTAATAGGTAAAAATTCCACAGGCAAGCCAGAACTAAAAGGACACGTAACCCCCAACATGTAATGATAAAGGTACACAAACATTAAGTAGAAAAATTATAAACTTATGTTCCTATAATTGTAAGTAAGAATATGCCTTGAGTAAGTAAGAAATTATATTAGGTAAAATAGTGAGAGGTTTGAGCTGCAATAATGTGACTTATACGGTAGACTATCTAAAAGCTATAATAGAGCTGTGTGTGGGTACATGACCTATCAGTCTATTGGCTGAAAGACAGAGGCAGTGTGGCAAAGTTAGGCAAAGGTGATAGGTTATTATGTAGAAACAAGTTTCATGTCAACTGTCTATTGGACCAAAATGTTACATACTGCTTTGTGAAGAAGAAACCCGTGACTACCTTGAGCTATGGCTGACTTGTTGCTCCTCTCCAAATCTCATGTCTTCGAGAATGATATCTTATCTGGCTTACTTAAGCAATAAATCATCTTAAATAACATGTTGGTCCCATCCCTCGTTTTTCATCTTGACAAAATGCAGTAAAAACTATTTTTGCACAAATTCTTTTATTTCTCCAGCATATAAATCTTAGCCTTTGGCCCTCTGTCGTGATGCAAAGCAACTAAGTGGGTTATCTGCTATGGTAAAATACACTGTTGCTATTGCTTTTATAACAGAGCTACAAACTCTTACAGGTCAGTATAACGGTACTAACAATTTACTGAAATGCATTGGTAACTTAGTGCAATCTGAACAGTAGATTTACTGTGCAGTTGTAGTCATGTAAATACAAAACTAACTCCCAAAATTATTGCATGCTGTATAACACAAGAACTATCAATCCTTAGAGAAAGTATATCCAAAGTGCTGGTGTAACAAATTTTTCTCTAAGTGACTGCTTTATCACTCCTGGAATTTTATTTAATTATTTTTCCCTAAAAATGCAAGATTGCTGAATCTAGTTTAGTAGTATTTGGGACTGAAAATGTTAGCAGTGCTGTACTACAGTTCAAGGGCATTACTACCATGTATGCTATATTTGGAATGGAAGTCTCTCTGGGTTCATCATTGCTTCTAGGCTAGTAGGAGGAAAATAAACTAAGGACACTCAGGTCTAGAGTCTTCTGGAGAGTAATATGTAGCTCACTTAAGGCAATAAATTAGAATAAAATACACTTGTCTTCTCCATTTCTAAGCAGATTTGACTGAGGTATGAGGCTTTTGACATAAAATTCATCAGAAAAAAGACAATATTGTGAATTCATGAAAGGAGATTAACTACTGATAGTGATTGTAACATAAAATTCTATTTCTATTTTTGGGAGAAATAAAACTATTTCCTCTACAATTAGTTTTAATTGCTTTACAAAATTTTTTGTCTGTATGCTAGTTGTTATCTATAAAAAATGGGGATAGATTGGGGTTTTGCAATCTCCTAGATTGAAAGACTTCCAGGGAAATTTAGATATCTTTTCCTGAAAACAGAAGCACGTAAGCTGAGTGATCTGTTCAAGGTATACAAGCGTATCCATGTGTTTGATCCTGGAAAAGATGTTTTGGCTGTGTCTTAAATAGCAGAGTCTTTCCATCTTTGTACTATAAAATTCAGTCTGCTGCTTTTGCAGAAAGAAGTTATATACCAATTACAAATTTATCAGTCTGTACTTTTCAAATTCACTCCTACTCCTCATCCTATAGTTCCCCAAGGAGAATCTTTTGGAATCTCTCACTTTGGATTGTTGAGCTATGTGTCCATATTGAGATCCTGTATGCTTTGCGCCTATGCCACTGCTAGTTTGCTTGATCCTGTCATTTATATACTTACAAAAGATGGACAAGGCTTCCAAAGAGAAGGTCACTAGATAAGATGTTGAAATAAAAATCAGGAAAATTTTCTGTATGCATTAATTTCTCAGATTTTCAGAGGGTTACAGCTACTCTGGCAACAGGTACCTGGAAATTCTATACCCTTAAGTCATCCATATCCAGTATTCAGCTGAAATATGTTGTGGCATTCTTCTGGACTTTTTTTTCCTCCTCTTAAGCATCTAATTTATGAGACATTCCAGTCTGCCAGTGCTTTTCAGTGTTCCAGTCCTTTTTTGTATTACTGATGCTTCACAACTTTTTGGGGTCCTATTCAAGTGTCAGGATATTTGGACTTTTTTTTTATTAAGGCATTCTGTCATGACAACTCATGTGTGACCTGTGATTAACAGGTCATACAGGTGCTGGTGTAAGAACAGTTGGTTCTCTTCAGTCTTTCATGTTTCACAGTTACTTTCTCTGTGATGAAAAGAGAAAATCTATTATTCACACAATATTAAAAAGAAGCTGTGACTATATGATGTTGAGCCTGAACTAATTTATCTTGGGACAGACTCACTAACCGTCCCTGTGCCACATTAATGTAAATGTTCTGGGTTCTGGGTTCAAAGCAGTGCTGTGAACTTTGTGCTCATCTCTGAGATGTAACTTGAAGTATCTGTAATGTTCTTCGGTGGTCCATATAGACATAGGTCCATATTCAATCTTCAGGAGATCTGATCTGGAAATAAATGCAAAAATTATCCTACTTACCAAGCAGTCCTAAAACATGTATTATATCTTCAGTATCACATGGTAAATGAAGGCACTTCCTTGCATCAGCATTGTTTGCATTTCTGGAAGCAGTACATCTGCAAAGAGACTGAGATTAAACTCAAGAGGGGCAAAGGCAACAGAGGGATAAAAACAGCACTTTTGACAGCTGTCAGGTTATTTTCCTATGTACGAATGTGAAGTCTACATGAGTTTATGCCAGAAGGTGTTACCTTTTTGTAAGTTTTGCAGCATGAGTTTCATTTCACTGATAGCAGTTGTTATTTTAGAAACAACTACATAGATGTCAGTAGGATACTGGTTGTGAGAGATTTTTGGTTTTGTTTTGTTTTGTTTTTTTCCCAAATTAAAGCAGCATGTTTCTAACCATACTCGCCTGGTTATGCAAGCCTGTGTTAATCCCCATTAGAAAATTAGGCCCTCTTTGTCATTCAGAATAATATGCTGAATATTACATGCATAAACTTAATATACTGTACAATGAAAGGAAACTATCTTGGATTTACATTGAACTGCCAGAGAATAAAATTTAACTAAAATTAAAACTTAGAAATGTAATGGAATATTGATCCATTTCATGCTAGATAAATAGAGTCAATGTTCATCAAAAAATGCCTTTTATTAACTTAAATACAGTGTTCTAAAAATCCTTGACCTGAATTATTGCTAAATTATTCGCTATATATTGTCTTTCAATTATTTTATAAAATCTAATTATCAGAAAACGATTGGAAATCCTTCTTATATTTTCCTCTAAGCAGAAAGGAAATTAGAACTTTAAAATTTAGAGTTTTTACTTTTTATGAATGAGGGAAGTACTGTTGTACCTTTTATCAGGATTAGTCTTCCATCTTTTCTTCCTTTTAGCATTGGAGAAGTTTGGAAACAGAGTAGAAAAAAAATGCCAGCAGAGAAAAATAATAGATTTTTTACTCTTTCTGGAAAATATGGGAAGGTTAATATGAAAAGAACAGCAAAATGAACAATAAAACCAAACAAAAATGCCCCACAAAAACAAAAAAACAACAACCAAATAAACAAAAAAAACCAAAAACAAAACAAAAAAAAAAATAAGCAAAAACCACCCATCAAACCCCAAAACCACCAAGAGTTGATTTTGCGGCATTCAGAACTGGAAAGTAAAAAAGATGACACACTGAATTCAATAATAAGCTTCCTTCTTTTAGTTTTCCAGCAGATTTGGGTCTAACCAGTTTCTCATCATAAGCACTATTTATGTTTCAATGTCATAAGTATACCAGAAACAAAATCTAAGGGAAAAACTAGCAAAGCCTTACCTGGCTTGTCTTTTTTTAATGTCTGCTATTATGTAACTCTCTTTTTCTATAAAATGATATAATTACAGAAATGTAATTACAGAAATGATATGATTAAAACCTTTCCAGATTTTTATCCAGAAATTAGGGATAGAAATATTAGGTTGTAATATCTTTTCTTATCTCTATTACGGTAAAGAGTTTGAACAATTGTAGCTCAGCTTTTGCAGTACTTTATCCTTCTGTACCTGAGACATAGTATAAAGGGACAAGATTCAATGAAACCCAGGGAAAAGTGAAATCCCAGAGATCTGAAAAGTAGGAAAGTGACATCTTAGAAATTTAGATCTTGGTCTGAAAACTGAGCATAACTCATCCACTACAGAAGTCTGATGACCTCACGATCAATCTGACAATGGGTTTAAGGTCATGCAGGGAATTTTTTCCAGCACTGAGACCTGATCTATTCCCATCCAACATGCACAAAAAAACCAGTTTGTCCTCTTTTCCTTCTCTCACTTTTCTACCAGCTCAAGCTGTCCAATTCTCTTTTGCTTTGCAAAGCAGTAGTGAACATTTCTCTCTTGTTCTTCTTTCCATTATCTCCACAATTTTTAAAAGGTCGTATTTTACTACTGTCACTAAAGCATAGTATTTATGTTTAAATTCTTTTTATGGAGATACTCAGAGAGATAATTTTGGACCCAAAATAAAGATATTTAAGTTGCTCTAATACCTTTAATCCTTTAATTTGATTTATAACAATTAAACTTGCAGAGTCACTTTAAGCCTCACTGTTGAAGGATCATATTATTGATTTCTCTTTACTTTCTGTTCAGTGGGAAAGTCTTTGTTAAGATTCCCATGATTCCCAGGCTTGAAAGTAACTAGCAGTTCATTGTCTTCCCTTAGTGTCTCTCTAGAGGTGACACTAGATTGGCAGGCCTTAGTCATCGACTTTCTCAAGATTTGGAGGTTAGAATTTTAAAATTTAGATTAGCCTTGCTCAAAGGACGGGAATTTTCAAAGATATAATCAGTGCGGCCCTGAGATGTACTGCAGTATTTCTTCAAGTATATTTTACTTCTGATTTTAGTTGCAAAGACAGCTTGTGATTTCTCTAGTGTGATACTTAAATTATTGTTAACATTCCAGTAATGCAGGCACAGGAAGACTACAGACTCAGGGAAAATAAGACCTTAAATTCATCCTGACATTATTAGAAAAACTCTGTGGAGTAGTGGAGAGAATAACAAAAAGAAAATTTCTTTTGTCTTCATTGTTTAAACTACTTGATTAGCTAGTAGATTTTTTTTGCATTTTGTGATGTATATATTTATTAGTAATTATAGATTAGCATGGCAATGATATCTTCCATGACTTACAGATTTTTTAATAAATTGAATCATTATTTTCAGTATTGCTGCATACAGAGCAACAGTTCCCTGAAAAAAGTAGCAGAAGTGTCTGATAGAATAGCATAGACAGGAGAATTAGATTTAAATGCAACCCAATATCCTTGGTGAATATCCATTGGTTGCTGAAACAAACCTCTGCCAAAATACAGAGCTATTCATATTATATCAAGGAATTGGCAAACAGTTGGACTAGCTGATATTCACAAGCAGGTTCTCTTGGAAACTGAGGAATTTTCTTGCTCTGAGTGTGAGAAATTTCGTGAGGTGTTTGTTTGGGGTTTAGCACATTCTGGTATTGCACCTTGCTTCAGATTGATTACTATTTATATGAATCAAAGAACAAGAGACAAATTTGTATAATGATAAATTCTATTAGTAAGGAAATAAGTTGGAAAACTAAGGCACTTTCTCATAAAATTTTTGATCCTTACATTTTTGAGGGAATGCTACATTCAGCACTTGTAGAAAGCTTGTGAATGCTGTTTCCTGCTAATATTTCTTAAATCAGTTTGTAAATATTAATATTATTTTAAGTTAAATTGGAGGAAGAATATTTTAATGTATAAAAGATATCCATGTTAGTTGCAGACTTATCAGATGCTCTAAAAATAAGGCAGAAAGATGTATTCCTGGGGGAGAGTGAAGAGCTTTAGCTGTCACTTGAGATGCCCACACAAATCATGACTTGACCTCTACAAATCAGATGCATGCCTTCCTTTTTATAACCATAATTGTAATTTTGTAGTTAACTTCATGCTTAACCTCTGGTATATCCTGCTGCTTCTTTTGCTAGGAAGGTGGAATGTAAATTTTGAAATGTGAATCAGCATAATGGAAAGTTGCTCAAAGTACTGCATTTATACTCTGCAATTGCATTCTAAGAGTTTTACTGACCTTGGGGAATACAAGTAAAAAATCATTTCCACAGAAATTGAACACGCATTTTCTAGGAACCTGTAGATAAACCTTATGAGCCTTTGAGAACTTATTAGATAGGCACAGCTTTCTCATTTTTGAGCTTTATCACCTAGCTGAAGCACTTTGAAGTAATTTTACAGATTTCTGTGGCAGAGAAAAGTCAATTACAGCCTTGAATGTATTACCATTCGGAAACTGATACATTGCCAGATAAAATTAGGAGACCACCAAATTAGTTACTTTATTGCAAAACCAGAAAACTAACAAATATGTCTAAATGTATTCCATTGGTTTCCATTGGTACATTATTTTGTACAAGTTATGAAGATTAAAAATAGATATTAACTAAATGCTGCTGAAATGTACATTGTTGTGGGGAAACTACTCAGTTTTCCCTAAGTAGCAGAATATACTTTTAATATTTTGGTAAGCATATGTTGCAGAACTGATAAACTGATAAACAGAGTCTTAGGACATACTTGCCTGGTACACTGATGCTAAATTATCTTCAGACCAGCTGCACAAAACAGAGCATTACAGCTCTGCACAAATCTACTACTTTGGGATGCAGAGCCAAGGCCTAGTATTGCCCCCTTATTTCAATGGACCTATGTACTGGATTTGTGTGGTCAGGTTTGAGTAGCAGAGGGGCTACACGGGTGGCTCTGTGAGAAGGTGCTGAAAGCTTCTCCTTGTCTGACAGGGCCAATGCCAGCCTGCTCCAGGATGGACCCACCACTGGCCAAGGCCAAGACAATTAACAGTAATGGTGGTGACACTGTGATAGTATATTTTAGAATAGCGCAAAAACTGTGCAACTGAAGCCAGAGGAGTAAAAATACATGGGAGAATCAACTCTATGGATATTGAGGGCAGTGGAGGAGGATGAGTAAGAGGTGTTCCAGGCACTAGAGATTCTCCTACAGTCCGTGGTACAGATGATAATAAAGCAGCTGTGCCCCTGCAGCCTGTGGAGGTCCATAGGAATGCAGTGATCCACCTGCAACTTCGGAAGACCCCAAGCCAGAATAGGTGGATGCTCAAAGAAAACTGTGATCATGTATGAAGTTGCCAGAGAGCAGGCTCCTGGCAGGATCTATTGACTCATGGAGTGAGGAACCCATGCTGAAGCAGGTTTTCTAGCAGGACTTGTGACCCCTTGGGGTGTTGCTGCTGGGGCTGGGGGTCAGTCCAGCACTCAGCTTCTGCTGGCAACAAGCCCTGATAGATAGCCTGGGGAAGAGAGCCTCCATCTGGGGTTTCCAGGCAGTGTCCAGCCAGGGTAACACCTAGGAGCATGGGCAGAGGCTTTAGGTGATCATCTCTTTTAGAAGTGATTTCTGCCCTGTGATCAGCTCAGATCAGCCCAGCCAGCTCTGTTAAGGTGTTACCTCTGCCGACGCAGACAAGAGACAGGTAGACCATGTGGTGTTCTGCAGAGAGTCTTTAGTGCGGGCTTCAGTGAAGGGGGACAGTGATGGTCTAACCAAGGATCTGGGCAAAAGATGGAGATTTTATAGGGAAGGGGAGAATTGCGGTGGAGGGGAACAAATGGTCTGGGATAAAATGACCAATAGTTAACAGGGAGATAACATGGGGTCCTGAAGCAGGAAGGGGTCCACAGCTTAGTCACCACGACTGGGAGGTTTTGCCTTATCTTAGGGGACAGATCTCCAGGGAGGATGCCTGTCAAAGGACTGTGCTTCCTCCACAGTGGGGGGCTTATGCAAGAGCAGGCTGTGCCTGAAAGACTGCATCCTCGGAAGGGACCAACACTCTTGTAGTTTGTGGAGAACTGTAGCCCACGGGAAGGTGTCACATGGAAGAAGTTCATGGAACACTCTCTCCCATGGGAGGTACCCCAAGCTGAAACAGGGGAGGAGTGAGAAGTACTCTTGCCCTCTAAGCAGGAAAGACTGGCAGAGACAATGTATGGTGATTTGACCAAAACCCCAATCCCACAACCTGCTGTGCCTCTGTGGGAGGGAAGCTAGAGAATCTGGGAATATAGTTATATCAGGGAAGAAGGCAGGTGTGGGGAGAAAATGTCTTAAGATTTTGATTTTATTTTGCATTATCCTACTCTGATTTGATTGGCAATAAATTTCATTAATTTCCCCAAACTGTGTCTGTTTTACCTATGGCAGTACTTGGTAGATGATCTTTCCCTGTTCTTATCTCAACCCATAGGTCTTTTGTTATACTTTTTTTTTTTCCCTGTCTAGCTGATGAGGAGAGTGATGAAACAGTTTTGGTGGA